AGAACAGAGCACCTCGCGGCGGATCATTTCGCGCCGTTCGATCCACGGGGCAAGCAGGGTTGTCTTCGGGACGCCTCCATCCTTGAACAGGCGGTATCGAGACCGCATTTTCACGAGAGATGCAGGAAAAAGGCCAGTGCATTGAAAGCCGCTGATAATATTCTTCGCCAGGACGCAGTTCTTCCAGGCATTTGATGCAATTCGAAGTGCAGTGGGTTTGGAGATCGTGTAGAAGTCCCCAGTCCCTATAAAATCATTAAAGACAAAGCATATTGTTAGAATTACCATCGTTCACCATGGCTTCAAAAATCTCCTTCCGAATCGAGGTTTTGTATGAGCCAAACACAGCGACATCAAGTGGTTGAAATAGGTGCGTTGCATTAGAAGGTAAACACAACAACTCCACCTGCAATGTCTTACACAACTCAACGATTTCCAGCGAAAAATGCGACGACAAACCATCAAACACTAGAAGTAGGGGACGCTCAATATTTTTGTCCTCAGTCTTCGCAAAATATTTCAACCAATTTTCAAACAGATCTTCATTCATGAAACCTTTGGGGGATGTTAAAATTGTAGCATTAGGCACGCTGCAGTAATTCTCAATGTTCTTTTCTACAGTCTCGCCAGGCAACAAAAAAAGTGGTGGCAAAAAATACCCAGATGCATTACCACAAGCAACAATTGAAAAATGAAAATTAGTCGCAACTGTTTTGGCCCACACATTTCTCGAACCTTTCAGAGCAATAACGTCCTTCGACTTCCGGCGGGAGGCAAACGAAGTCTCGTCCATGTTGAAGACACGATCGCTCGACAGCTTGTTGGTGACAATTGCGTTGACCAAAGAGTTGAAGAGCGTGGTCACTGCTACGTCATCCACCTCGTTCCGAGCGCTGGAAATCACTTGGGCGACTCGGTTCGTGAGCTGAGGATGGCGTACGATGAAACGCCGGTACCAACCTGCGCTCAACGACGCCGTTGGGTCCAGTCGGCGAAGCACTTGGTTTGCCTTTACGATGATCGTCTTCCGATCTGTGGGATTGCCGTCTTGCTGCATTGCAACAATCCAAGCGACAAGATCCTCTTCGCAACTGTCTGGTAGCGTTGGCTTTGGTCCTCGGCGCTTGGTTACTAGAGCTTGTCCTGATCGCTGTTCTCGCACTCGCTTGTTGAGGGTTGCGATGGGGATGTTGTGCCTTTTCGCGACTTCTGGGGCCTTCGAGCCATTGATGACCGCTTGAACCGCAGTATGCAGGAGGTCCTTGGAGTACTTTCCACGCTCACGTGTTGGAGGCATCGAGAGCGCCAAAACCAAAGTGACATGCATTATATTAAAGAGGTTTTCTCGCCGGTGCTTCTTGTCATTTGATTGGTTCGATTTTCAGCTACTAAATTGGCACGCGGCTCTTAAATTGGCAATTTACGTTACCGAAGTTTCTGCAAATCTACCCAATCATAATTGAGAACATTTGGGCCAAACTAAGGATTGGTCTAAATAAGCCAATCACATCCGTATCCATGCCATATTCGAAGTAAGTTATTATTGCATTCTGTAAAACAATACAGTCGAAATTCGTGTTTGGTTACTTAATGTTGAAGAGATGAAAATCATAAAATATATGCTCCTGACAAAATGAAGCTACCTACTCCTCATCCAATACTCCACGTATTGGAATGCGATCAAGCCCACAGCATGCAGCAGACTCCGGTAGATGCTGTGGGCTATTCCGTTTGAGATAATACTGAGATTTGGCGGAGGAGTAGCATCCTTCATTTTCTTGGGAGCCGTTTCGCCCATGCATACAGGTATCGTGAAATCTATTGGTCCTGTCACGGTGGTTCAGTCGACCTTCCATGACGTTGAGCATCGCCCCCGACACTGGATCCACACCGAATACAGTAGGAGCGCATGCACGCACCCTTGGTGGCTCTTCAATTGAGCTCGACACCCCCGCCGCACCAATGCCGTTCGACGTGGCTCACTCTACGGTACACATTTCTACTCAGGCCAACGTCATGCTAACGTTATTGACAATTCGAACAATTATAGCCAATAAAAATGCATCGGTAGGAAATTAACAACGTCTGATTGGCTACTTGAAATAAGACGATGGAAATTATTTCTTTGGAGTTGATTGTTGTGAGCCACCATCATGTCGCCGCCGCCGCTGGACGACACGATCGAGGTCGAGTTTGGCCCTCAGTTCCTCTCCACAGGAATGGGGCTGCGTCTGCATCCTGCCACGGAGACAGACATCGGTGCCATGCTCATCTTTAGCTACTTTGCGAGCCCGGTCAAGGTACTCACCATTCCCCCCTGCCGATACCAAGTCGAAGCCATCGGCGACCTCAACGTGCGCAGTTTACCGTACAACGAGATCAAATCGCGCATGCAAGCACTTGTGACGTACCCCGTGGTACATGAGCATGCTCCACCCCATCTCCCCATCGACATCCCTCACATTCCTCGTCGTCGTCATGTCCGTAGATCATTACGTTTGTACGCCATCCCATGTGGTTTACTCTGCGCTTTCCGAGGCGTCCGCTGCATATCCAGATCCAAGAGCGAATACGTACGTCCTAACCATTTCTTTTAGTCGCCATGTGCTCATTCTCGTATGCAGCCATCGGACGCTTAGAAATCGTTGACTACGTCCAGCCGTACACGACGACCGATCTCATCCCCAGTCGCTTCTGGGGCACGCCGTTCATTCGATCCGTGAATGGCCTCGATCTGGCGCAATCCACCGACAACGCCGGAGTACGATACACGCTGTCGCATATCCCAGCGTCTCATGTTTCTTGAGCGCATAGGTCCTCGCCGCCATACAATCGGCCGCACTTCCAATCGTAAGATATAATAGTCCTCTTATCCCTTGCTGATGTGAAGTTATTTATATTATGATTTATCGATCCATATATATATATATATATAGTCCTTTTCGCTGAAATTCTGATTCGCATGTTTTAATATTATGCAACGTATTTGAAGATGAGCATTTTGACTGGGCCAAACTATACTACTACTCGATGATTGGTTGAAATTTCTCCTTCATGAAGTTTGATTGGCTAGGACATTCTCAAATACGTTTGTCCAGTTCATTCGATTCTATTCGGCAGTTCAAATTGGACCAGATTTGACAATAAATGCATTGAATCGATTTGATTTGTACAATCTATCTACCCATGTCGTTGCTGCATTGATACATATAATATATATATATATATATATATATATCATGTCACCATCGACTACATGTATTCTATATATATAACACGGTATACCATGTCACCATTAACTTATTTACTGTGAGGACAATCGATATATATATTGCGCTAATCGATATATATACTGTATACCCATATCACATCAAGTACACCCATATCACATCAGCTTCTTTATCACAGTACATATATATAATGCCGATGGCTATATAAATATATATATAATCATTTACATATGCAGCCATGTTTTTCTATATATATATATATATATACTGTATACCCATACCACATCAACTTCATTATGACAGTGCATATATACATATATAATGCCGATGGATATATATATATATATTAAC